AAAAGCTTCATGACTGTGGATTCCTGCATCTAAAGCTATTGTCAACACAACAAGAAAAAGCAAGGTTGCTTCTTTTCCCGTTCACTCAACATGTTCTTTTTTAATCTTACAGGGGAAAAAAAAAAATTGCATGCATGTAACCGCTAACAATGAAAAGGAAAGAAAAAAAAGAGGATAAAGAAAAGGCTTTGGAAAAAAAACCCTGTAAATCATGTGAGTTCTCAAAATCCCTTTTCTTTGCTCTCCGCAGGATAAAAAAAAATGTTAATAAATGCATATTAGCAATCCATTTCTGGGAGAACAATTTATATTATGTAAGAATTATTGTGGCCATCCTCCAAGCATTGTGCAATAATTATTTTGCTCATTTGACAGCTCTTGATATTCTGATATGGTTAAAAAGTTAAATCGATATGTAATGACAGATGGAAAAAAATAAAATTAACAGTATTGTGGATTTTTGACTCCCAACTGTGGCAAACTGATAATTCTCAAGGATATTCTGCAGTAACATAACTGAAAAAAAGTAATTGTTGGGCCTGAACTAGAAATGATTCTAACAAGCTTAGTAATTTGAATTTAGTTCAATTAGTACAAACCAGCTTAGCTAGAAAGAAAAGCTGATATGGTTTGTGTGCCCCCAACAGATCTGTTTTTCATGAAAAAGTCAAACAAAAACTCACAGACACACAGACAGCTGTATTCATAACCAGACTTTAATGAAGTCATACTTATTTCATGCTAAATCTGTTTTTTTTTATGATTTTATATCTAACCTGCTCTCTTTTCTTTTCAATTTATGTCAAGAAAGACAGTGGACTTTCTAATCAATTTGAATACCTGAAATACTTTTTCTGGGTTTCATACACAACTAAATGGCCACTCAGGGAATATTTATCTCTCCGTTCATTCGTTATTTATAACCTATCTCATTTTCCAAGAATTCTGGACAGCATACAATGAAAAAGAAGTGTGGAAAAACCCATTATAATACAGGCTTTCCACATTTTTAAGTTACTTGCGGCAAACCTTGTATGCACAAAGTACAATTAAATAATTCAACTTATTTGGCACTGAGAAAATGTTATACCATTAAGGACCCAATTTCATTTGTTAGTCATTACACAATTATATACTCAGCTGGAACACGCTGTTGCTATAAATTGTTTATGCTGTGTTTGCACAGTACAGAAAGAGTTCTGTGTCTATAGAATTGAAATCAAAATTTAATAAAGGGCTGGGAATGTGCTTATGCCTAAAACCACAAAAGGTAGGGATATTAAGCATTCAGATAAAAATGCATGCCTTATGGTAACTCTTAACTCTCAAATTCAGCTCATCATCTAGACATTAGTTTTGTTTCCTTCCACAGTCTGCAGAACCCTGAAAGTAGAATGGACTTCAGATGATCCTAGTTTCAACAAACCATAATTTGCCAACACACACAAACACACACACACAGAGAGGGGGGGGGATTTGGTTTTGGTTTATAAAGAATTCATTAACAATAGTATTCTCTGCATGAATGAGCCCATGTCAGGTTAGGTGCTCAAGAATCTCAAGAGATTTTTGTCACATTGCAAAAGTTTAATGCCCTGAGGTCTGTGCAGAAAAACAGAGAAAAGGGGAAGGAAGGAAGGAAGGAAGGAAGGAAGGAAGGAAGGAAGGAAGGAAGGAAGGAAGGAAGGAAGGAAGGAAGGAAGGAAGATGTGAAGGAAGGAAGGAAAGAAGGAAGGAAGGAAGATGAGAAGGAAGGAAGGAAGGAATGAAGAAGGAAGTAGAGAAGGAAGGAAGATGTGAAGGAAGGAAGGAAGAAGGAAGTAGAGAAGGAAGGAAGATGTGAAGGAAGGAAGGAAGGAAGGAAGATGAGAAGGAAGGAAGGAAGGAAGGAAGGAAGAAGGAAGTAGAGAAGGAAGGAAGATGTGAAGGAAGGAAGGAAGGAAGGAAGGAAGGAAGGAAGATGAGAAGGAAGGAAGGAAGGAAGGAAGATGGGAAGGAAGATGTGAAGGAAGGAAGGAAGGAAGGAAGATGGGAAGGAAGGAAGGAAAGAAGGAAGGAAGGAAGATGAGAAGGAAGGAAGGAAGGAAGGAAGGAAGGAAGGAAGGAAGGAAGGAAGAAGGAAGTAGAGAAGGAAGGAAGATGTGAAGGAAGGAAGGAAGGAAGGAAGGAAGGAAGGAAGGAAGGAAGGAAGATGAGAAGGAAGGAAGGAAGGAAGGAAGGAAGGAAGGAAGTAAAGAAGGAAGATGTGCAGGAAGGAAGGAAGGAAGGAAGGTCAATTCTTTGTTCAGTTTGAAGAAGAAGAAGATATAAAAACTGACAAAAAGAAGCTAACAGTAATTCTGCAATGCCTTGTTTTAAAATTTTCAACCACAAAAGCTGTTCTACTCTGCTGTTCAATTCTGCAAGGGGAGAGGGGAGGAAAGAGATGATTCTTGATTGATTGGATAATAGGAATAAATTATTAGCCCGTACAGTACCAGAAAAAGAATTAATCTTCCGAGCACGGTGAAATTAAAAGGTTTTGGCTTGCCTGATCTGAACAAAGTATGATGAATTTTTAATACTGCAAATTAATTAGGCACGTAATGAGGAATAGGATGCATAATAGAGCTAATTCTGATAAATAGCAAAATAATCTAAATCCTGAGAGAAATAAATATCATTTATCACAAGAACATCCAGAATTTGGTTCTGGGAGAGATACAAATGATAAGAGATTTTGCCCCCCAATATATATATATATATATATATATATATATATATATATATATATATATATATATATTAAATTGTATTGAAATAATTCTATTCACTAATTTTGCATTGTGTAAAAGTGATGTTGTATGTAATTACATTACCTGTTGACCCTTATCTATAACTTTTCTGGTAAGGCTGTTGGGATATTAGTCATTTTGCAAAGAGGTAATGCAGCATAAAATATATGCATGGTTATTTAATACACTGTCCGTGCCAGATGTAACGTATTATGAGTTGTCTCTGTTTGGTAGGATATTAAATCTGTTTGGCTCCGCTAAGTTTGCTGCTTGGAATCTGAATTGTGAGATATATTACAAATGAAACTGAAGCAAGATACTCCTCATCTAATGAAAGCAGTCAGAGAGTTCATTCTCCTTTCTTCTACACATATTAAAGGAATTTCTGCAAGAACAAAGTCATAGGAGCCCTGGTGGCGCAGTGGTTAGAAGGCAATATTGCAGGCTAATTTTGCCAACTGCCAGCAGTTCGATCCTAACTGGCTCAAGGCTGACTCAGTCCTTCATCCTTCCGAGGTTGGTAAAATGAGGACCCAGATTGTTGGGGGGGGGGGCAAGAGGCTGAGCCTGTAAACCATTTAGAGAGGGCTGTAAAATACTGTGAAGAGGTATATAAGTCTAAGTCTTTAACTCTGCCACAGAAATGCCCCTCTTTTCCTGTTTTTTTTTAAATCCATGTTATTTATGAACTAAAGAGTTACATAAACAAACAAACAAATAAACAAACAAATAAATAAATAAAACAGAATTATCCTGACATTATGCCTGTTTGGGTAACTTTCCTCACTCTTTGAAAATTTTGCTTGGTCTTAAAAGTTTTAGATTTTTCTATCTCAGTACAAAGTTCTTGTGCCCAACTTAGCCCAAGGTTCTTTTTCTTTCTTTCTTTCTTTCTTTCTTTCTTTCTTTCTTTCTTTCTTTCTTTCTTTCTTTCTTTCTTTCTTTCTTCCTTCCTTCCTTCCTTTCTCTTTCTCTTTTCTTTCTTTCTTTCCTCCCTCCCTCCCTCTCAGAACAATTAAAATAATGAGGAAATGAAGAAAGCATGAAATCAAAACAAAACTCTGGTATTATTAACATAAGTATAAAAAAGCTAGTTAGGGCAGTTTATAAAGCTGCATTAGGAAATCATTCCGAATTATGCAGCAATCAAAAGTCTTTCATATTGTGTGCATGAACTGGCATTGACTGACAATGATAAATGGTATTCTGTTCTGTTATTCATTTGATGATAATGTGCCGTTCACATCTGAATAGCTTTATCTGCCCATGGAATTCTCCAAGGTTCTTGCCATTGTTCAGCTGTGATTTGATAATAGACAGTTTTCTGAATGGCACGCTGGAGTTTGGGAATGGATGTTGTTTCACATTTACAGCTGAGTAGATATCCTGCATGTTTTGTTTATTCAAAGGGTGAAGGGTGATTTTAGAAGAAAAATAGAAGTCTGCTAATATAGATGATATGTATGGCATCATTAGTGGCTTTGATAGAATTTTTCCCATACCTGTTTGTCCCCCTCCTCTCATTTCCACCCACACAAAAGTTATTAATAAAACCTACCTACAAATTGGAATGCCAGCTATGAACCCTTAAGTTTAGATTTAGAATTTTGCAGTAAGAGACTTCTGCAGATTTAGCAGCATCCTCTAATGACATCCCTGCTTGATAATAAAATGTATATTTAGAAGATCAGATCAATCAAGGGGGAATCAGCTAGGAATATTAATAATCATGAAAATTTGTATCCTAAGGTAGTCTCTGTTGAGAACTGGCATGAGTGAATAGAGCAAAACTTCATATTTATTTTGAAATGCATCATATCTACAGTAACTGATTAAAGATAATATATGTATTCTAATTCTAACACCTATAGAACCCAAATGTTTGAAATACCTTTTTAATTAGCTTTTTAAAAAATCATATGCAATGAAAATCACTCAACATGTTTTCTTCAGCTGGCACATATGTTGTTTAATATGCTTTACATTCTTTAAACTACGTAACTATTATAATTAGATTAAATCTGCATATCTCAAATATGTTTTTTTTTCATAGATTAAACCCACTGCATTCTATTTAGTGTTCCAAAATATGTTGATAAAGTTACATTCTGGAAAATTTTGAAAGGTTGCTTGGTTGGTAGATATATTTAACCCTTGTATATGTCATAATAATAGACAGCATATTCTTGTATTGTTATAACCAGCATTCTTCAAATACCTGATAGGTGTGGATTTGTTCTTCATTGCTCCAGATTTCAAGACATGGAATAATGGATTAAAATGGTAAGGTATTCTGATCAAATATTAGCTAGCTTCTTGATGGAAAGAACAATTCTATTGGAATAAATTGAATTCTTGCAGACAAAGCAACCCACAGAATTAATGATAGGAACAGGAATGAATCTACTGTCATCCAAAGATGCTTATATTGTAAGTAATAAAGTACTATTTATTTAGATAGATCTTATGCATGCTACTGTATGGTATCCACTATAATCACATATTTTTCTTTTTAACCTCTGCCAATGACAATGTGCTAAAAACAAGCAAATGGGACACCACACAAATTATCTGTTAGGGTAGATAATTTCAAATACAACTTAGTTGTACTATTTCTCTCCTCCTGGGCTGCTGGTTAAAACACTTTATTTCTGAACACCTGCTTTAATCTGTTCCATTACTTCAGATAATAAATGGACTATAGTCTTGATGAAGATCAGTTCCTCATCTAACTTTATTTTTAATTCAATGTTTTATTTGTCAATAAGTATGTTGATGTTTTATATTGTTTAGCTCCAAATCAAGGCCTTGGCAACAAGGAAGAAAACATGCCTTTTGTTAATGCTGGAAAATAGCCTAAAAGACCAAGTGTGCAATGAACAGTGAGATCAATAGTATAATCAATAGACTCAGAGAAGGATAAGATAAGCTTATGATTAGTAAACAGGCAACAATTCATACAAGCATCCCTAAACGAAGCATGATCAATGTCCTTAATATTTAGAGAAAGTGGACTGAATGGGAATGACCCAGGCAATAGATGATTAGGGAATAAAAAAGTCACAACTAGCTGTTTCCAGAGCTAGCAAAGTGAGTTATAATAACTAAGGGATATATATTTTGTATATTTGTAAAATTTGTAATAAAAGCTTTAGTCAGTTAATGTTTCAGCCCCCAGTTTGGATTTATAGGAGACATCAATAGGCTTAGGCATGGTTTCAGATTAATTCTAGAAATGTAAAAGAAGCTATGCAGAAGGCAACTATGGGGGTTACATGTTGTCACTTTAATTCTTGTAAGCCATTCTATTTTTGTGAGATGGGCAGCAGTATCCATCAGTCTATCAAGCAAGCTAAAACAAGATGCAGCTTTTTAAGCAGTAGTAAATAGATTCTGCCTTGGCTAGAGATGGATCCTTCATAGATAAATGTGAAATTGCATTGAGGATTATGTACAATAGGTAAGAACATCAAATATTTGTACCATATAATTGATACCATCTGTAAATGCCCTTAGGAAGCGCTAAGACTCGACTGGTGTGGGTGTTTAATCCAGATAAGTTGTCAAGAATGTATAAAGGTATTTCAAATAAATGTTGGGAATGCAAATGTAAAGAAGGGACCTTTTCTCGCTTATGGTGGACCTGTGATAAAGCAAAGAAATATTGGAGTAGGATTCATATTCTAATACAGAAATTTCTTAAAGTGAATATAAAGAGAAAACCAGAGACTTTTCTTTGGGGAAAAAGAACTGGCAAAAACAATTTGGAACTTTGATGTTACATATGTTGATGGCAGCAAGACTGCTCTAACCACAGAAATGGAAGGACATTTTGATCCCGACAATGGATGAATGGCTGCAAAAGTTGACGGAGTCAGCAGAGATGGCTAAATTGACTGCTTTTATCAAAGGGAAAAAAAAACCCTTTTATTTCTACTTGGAAACCGCTTCTATACTTTGTGCTTGAAGCGGAAAAAACATGAAACTTTAATTTGGGGGTTTACCGATTCGATAGATTTGTTGTTATAGACATAGTTAGTTTAAACTATTATGTAAAAGTAAAAAGTTGAGGTCTGATGTTAATGAAGAGAAGGACGAGGGGTGACGTGATAGCAGCCTTTCAATATCTGAGGGGCTGCCACAAAAAAGAGGGAGTCAAGCTGCTCTCCAAAGCACCTGAAGGAAGGACAAGAAGCAAGGGATGGAAACTAACCAAGGAGAGAAGCAATCTAGAACTAAGGAGGAATTTTCTGACAGTGAGAACAATTAACCAGTGGAACAACCTGCCCCCAGAAGCTGTGAATGCTCCAACACTGGAAGTTTTTAAGACGAGACTGGACAGCCCTCTGTCTGAAATGGTATAGGGTTTCCTGCCTGAGCAGGGGATTGGACTAGATGACCTCCAAGGTCCCTTCCAACATTATTATTATTATTATTATTATTGTTGTTGTTGTTGTTGTTGTTGTTATTGCCTTATTCTACTGCCACCAGAGGGAGTCAGAAGTCAATGTTTTTTCTTTGTTTCTGCCCTTCTTTTCCTCATTCTTCCCTTCTCTTTCCCCTTCCCTATTTTTCCTACTGTTTGCCTTTGTATCTTTTTTTTTTGTATGTTATAACATAAATTAATAAAGCTGTCTCAGTCGAAAAGGAAGTGCTAAGCCTACACAAGAATCTCAGTATGTTGTGAAAGATGTTCACCAAGGAAGGAAATTCATTCAGAACATACCACTGGAAGCATAAAAGGGAAAACGAATGCAGGTGTCAACACTGCAACCGAATTTGGCTGAAGCCATTTCCGCTTCGTTTTCGGTTGCCACAGAGTTGGGAGGGGGTAATGATTATTATTTTTTTTTAGCTTAGTCAAAATAATAAATTGTTCTGTGGGAACCAAGGTCATTGCTGCCTGAGTTTTGGTGGGCTGAAACTTTTGTTAGGAAGCCTGCCAAAGTAGATTATTGGGGAATGGGATGAATGACATGTTACTGGGGTGGGGAAATCAACTTTGTAATATTGTAATCTTTACGGGGGGGGGGACTTCAGTCTTGGTTTCACTTTTGAAAGTGCCAATATTTTGTAGCCAATAAATATGTTCTTAAAGGAAACCTCTTTCCTTGGAATTCTCTTTTTAACGATCTCATCTATCGGAATTTTCATTTTTTACATACAATCTATATTCCTTTCCTGCATAACTGGAAATAGTTCACTGGTACACAAAGACTTCTTAAGCTGTCTTTCCTTGTGCAGGTGGTCCTTGGCTTATAACATTTCATTTAGTGACCGTTTGCAGCAACAACAGCGCTGGAAAGTGTGACTTCTCACCATTTTTCAGACTTATGAATGTTGTGCTGTCCCTGTGGTCATGTGATCAAAATGTGGATGCTTGGCAACTGACTCAGCGCAACCGATGGTGGCAGTGTCTATGGTCATGTGATCCCCTTTTGCAATCTTCTAATAGGCAAAGACAGTGGGGAAACCAGATTCACTTAACAACCATGTGACTAACTTATGATTCACTTTATGATCCACTTTAACAACTCTGGCAAGAAAGGTTATAAAATGGGGCAGAACTCACATAACCAATATCTCACTTAGCAACATAAATTCTGGGCTCCGTTGTCATAAATCCAGGGCTACCATATTAATCAAGAGCTCTTTTCCTACTTGGAGGAAGATGTTTGCCTGAACATCACCTGAACTAGGCAATAATGGGCAAGAATATTTTTACATATACTGTGTTTTCTCTGAAAGTAAGGTCTACACCAACAATAAGCCCTAGCTTGATTTTGGGGAGGTGGGCCTAAAATAAGCCCTATCCCAAAAATAAGCCCTAGTTTTGGGGCAGGCACAAATCTAAAAATCAAGTTAGGGTGGGGATGGGATTGTGGAACTGCCCCACTTGCCCCGCACCGACTTACCTCATAGCCAGGCCTTTCCTCGCCGGCCCACTTCTTCTTCTGAGGTCTCTTTTGCAGCTGGGCCTGTATTTCTCAGTTACAGGCCTTTCTGGAAAGTCTGTGCAGCCAAAGAACTGAGCTAAGGATTCTGCAAGACTTCAGCAGCCGAATCCATAGCTCAGTACTCAGCTGCTTAGGCCTTCTAGAAAGGCCTGAGTGTAAAATGCAGGCCCGAATGCAGCTGCGGAACTTTGGCCCCAGAAGAAGTGGACTGGCTGGGTTAGGCTGTCGATGCCGGTGGTGAGGTAAAGCCTACCCCAAAAATAAGACCTGGTGCCTCTTTTGGAGGCAAAAAAAAAATAAGACCCAGCCTTATTTGGGGGGAAACACAGTAAGTGAAGGCAAGCATACTGTATCTCTTTGGGCTTCTCTTGTAAGACTTTCCATCCTAAGACTTTTGTTAGTAGTACAGAAGTCTCTGTTAAAAGCTCTCTTGGTTCTTTGAGGCTTCCTGGGATATCTGTGAACATAAATGCATTCAATAAAATGCTAGAGAAGTTTAGTTAGCTAACAACCTGCTATTGCTTCTAGATATTTAATTGAAGAGAGAAAAAACAGGCCCTCTTTATTGTCATGTTTTTTCTCCCCAGATCTTACTGTATTCCTTACAAAGTATGTTCTGCTATGTATTCATGGGACACCAACCGCATAAATTCATTCTGAGCAGGGAAAATTGCAAAAGGATTTTTTTTTATCCCGAAGATGCAATTTTTTGATCCTTATTTTATTGAAGAAATGATCAATATTTGTTTTTCAAGAGAATTTACTGCTTTTCACAATCTTGCATCTTGGCTGGCTTGGCTGCTGGGTTTTTGTTTTTGTTTTTGAAAGCAAAAGCAAATATAAAAGCCCCTAAGCCAAAATCTGAAATCCGATGACCTATGGAGGGTCTTTTATTAATATGCCCCATAATTTTTTTCCTTAATGTTCTTGCTGTAGATGCCGAAAGAAGAATTAACTTCGTGTGTCAGGACACTTAGAAAAATGCCTTTCAAAGCAGTTAGCTGACTGATTGCCTTTGCCTGACTTGTTTAGAGTTCAGTGTTGTTTGCAGTAATAACTCTGGCTTTTGATAAGCTGGTTTAACATGAATCAAAGGCTCTGTCAATAGCTAAAAGAAAGAAGGCTGTTTTCCAACAAAATATGTGCTGTCCGGAAAAACGTCTACAACTGAGCTGAAGCATGATTTTAAGGACTCAACTTAGTCTTAGATCATCTGAATAACTCTTGTCATTCATCTGTCTGGTCTGAAACTAATATGTGCAGGGACACACACACATACACAGAGAGAAGGGGACAGGGAGGAAAGCTTGGACTGTAGAAGCTTTAGAAGAAGTACTGATAAATAAAGGCTACTTCTTGATCTGATCAAACTATGAATCACAGCTATTCAAATAGGTCTGTTCAGTTTGGATCCTGTTCAGCTGTTGGAGCAGAATATGGGAAACCCAACTTTAAGACCTTTAGGTTGTCACT